ATGTGGTGTGTGTGTTAGTAGTTTGTTTCCTTTTTATTGCTGAGTAGTATTTCGTTGGATGGATACACCACTATCTTTTCATCTAATCCATTATTGACGAACATTTGACCAATAATAATGGGAGCCTATTATAAATTTGTTTACAAATCTTTTTGTATACATGTTTTCATTTCTCTTGGCAAATACCTGGGTGAATATGAATCATGTGTTCATGGTGTATTGTATACTTGACCCTATAAGACTCTATAACAGCGGTTCTCAACGTGTGGGTCGCGACCCCTTTGGGAGTCAAACAACCCTTTCACAGGGGTCGCCTAAGACCATCAGAAAACACATATATAATTACATATTGTTTTTGTGATTAATCACTATGCTTTAATTATGTTCAATTTGTAACAATGGAATTGGGGGTCACCACAACATGAGGAACTGTATTAAAGGGTAGCGGCATTAGGAAAGTTGAGAACCACTGCTCTATAAGATGCTAATTGTTTATCTATTATTTACCATTTTACACCTCCACCAACAACACATGAGAGCCCTAGTTGTTCAACTTCCTTGCCAACAATTTGTCTTTCAAATTGTGGCTGTTATAGTGGATTTGAAGATCTATCTCATTGTAATTTGCATTTCCTTATGGAGTGCATTTTCATGTAATTATTAGTCATATATATATATATATATATATATATATATATATATATATATATATTTTCTTTTGTACACAGTTTTTCCCAATTTTATTATTGGTCATTTACCTTTTTATTAAACGGTAAGAGATTTTTATATATTCTGGATAAAATTTCTTTGTCAGGTACTTGTTTTAAAAAGATTTTATTTTAAGTCTATGGCTTTACTTTTAAGTTTCTTAATGGTGTCTTTTCAACAGTACAAGTTTTTTTAATTTTGATAAAGTCTAACTTGTTATTTTTTTCCTTTATGTTTTTTTGTGTCCTAAGATATCTTTGCCTATTCCAAAGTCATACAGATTTTCTGTGTTTTCTTTCAAACTTTTATAGCTTTAGTTTTTAGGTTGAGACAAATGATTTACTTTTTACTTTTGTGAATAGTGTAAATTAGGGGTTGAGAATGATTTTCTTTAATATAGTGCTAGCACCATTTTTGAAAATATGATTATTTTCCATTGAATTACCTTGGAAACTTTGCCCAAAATCAATCGACCATTTGTGTATGTATCTATTTGTGGACTAGTTATTGTATTACATTACACTATGTATTTATCTTCATAACACTGCCAAATAGGGTCAGTCTTTATTACTATAGCTTTATAGTAAGCCTTTAAAGCAGGTAGTGTAAATCATCAAACTTTGTTTTCTTTTGCAAATTTGTTTTGGCTACTTTAGGTCATTTTAATAAGTTTAGTTCAGAAGAATGCCTTCCTTTTCTATTTCTGAGGTTATTTTTTCTTAACTTTAATAATTATTTTCTTAAATGTTAAATAGGATATTCATTATGAAACTACTAAGGTCTAGAATTTTGTGTGTGTATAAATTTATGATATGATTGTTCTTTCTCTTCCCACTCATTCTGTCTTCCTACATTTCTTTTCTCATCCTCTGGGCTCATTTGTCAATAAAACATGAAACAAGAAAAAGTATGCCATTATTGATAACAGGAAAGATGATTGCATGCCTCTAACTAATATTGTATGTGGCTTTCATATATATGTATAATTTGTTTCCCAATCATCACATCTCCCTCTGACTGTGAGAATGGCACACATTTTATTTACATTTTAATGTGTATGTTCATACCAGCTCCATGTTGTGTCATTTGTTTGGTTGTCAAGCAACCTGCATACACAGGATGGTTTCACATTTCTAAGCTCACTCCCATTTTCAGTTTTGTCACTGATAATAATTTCATACTCAAATCTGTTTAACCAAAATTGCTCATCTGTTTTGATCCTTTCCTGAGTTATACTGTGTCCAAACTTTTTAAAGTCTATTCATACTTCGAGAAAATTTCAGTAAAGAATAATTTTATATGAGGAAACAAGAATCAGTGAAAAGAACATGGAGTAAAATAAATCTTGTTCAAATCCTAAACTGACATTTTCTACTTATGGAAAAAATAATAATTGGTGTATTGATTAAGCATATAGATGCTCAATACATGGTGTAAAAATTATAAATTAAAGATTATACACAATATTTATATACTTTATAAAGCATAAAATGAGAATACTTGGTAGAGGGTTTAAGCAAACAGAAATTCTTAACTGCTTGACATATGTTTCTTTTTGAGAAAAGATGTTGGTATAAACCAATCTGTCATTTAATTACAATTCAGCTCAAATAATTGTACCATATCTAGCATCAGCAAGCTAGAGAGATGCATGAGAGACATGAAAGTTATAAATACAGGCAGAGTGTAAAATGTGGTTCTTTAAGAAATTTATGGACTCATTTGACAGCCAAGCCATACATCTGAAACAATCACTTCATAATAGAAGGTATGTTATATCAACAGCAACCATTTATTGAGTGCCAAGCATTGTTAGATGTTTTTTTAGACATTATTTGTCATCCTACTTATCATCTCAAGCTAACTCTAGCAGGTGTTATTATCCCCATGATACAGATAAGAAAACTAAGTTTCAGGGAGGTGGAACTGACTAGCAAAGTCACTCAACTAATAATAATAATAACAGTGCTAGTCAACACTTACGGAGTGTCTACGATATTCATCTTCAGTGGGACACAGTGATGGATGGTAGAGCCTAGGAGATGGCTGATGGCCAGTTTTGCTCCCTGTAGTCCAAGGTCTCAGCAGTGTATTCTCATGGCTGCCTCGTTCTCTAAAGGACAGAGCCTGACGTTCACCTCAAACTTTTTGCAGAGCATTCAGGAACTAATCACTTGCTTTGCCATTGAACAGACTGAGATTCATCAGAGAGTGATACCTAGAAACTGGCCTTTATGTGTTTCCAGAACCAAAGCTTGCTTAGAAATACTGTGAGCTCATTGCACTTATATATTCTGGCTAATTCTCATCTCTATTTTTGTAACACAGTTAAGAATGGAGGTGTGGATTCATTGAGAATGCTGTCCAAGCATCAACATAAGCCTTGGTTAAATGTCTGCCTGATAAGTCTGACAATAACTATAATGGGGCAATGAGAAGAGTGAAATGAAGTTCTCTATTATTTCTGATATTCTTTGGTTGAGAAATTTATTTCATCATTAATGTATCTGTAGGTGGAAATGTTTTCCTTATGAGGGTTGCCTATATAATCTATATGCATTTGATGTAAAATATTTATACCTATGTGAAACAGAAAATGTACCAATATTCTCTTGAAATTCTGATATATCCCCCTGGCTGCAGTTGCTAGAGGGAAATACAGAACATAACCATAGAGAAGGGAGAATTTTGAGCAATGGAGGAGAATTTTACAAGTGGTCACAACCAATTCAGTTAAGTCTGGAGCAGCTCTCACCATAGTCATGGAGGGCGCCCATCTTCAGAAAACTTAAAAGATGAGGTTCCAATTTTTGGGTACTTGTGTAATTTTAGCCTCCCCTTCATTTCACTGGTTTTCTTTTTTTGGTATAGTAAATAGAAAAATAAATAAATATCAGAGCAGTTTTCCCAAGTGTATTCCTTAGAAAATCAGGATGTTATATGTTTAATTGGTGTTATTCAAACAATAAAATTCTAAGAAGAAATAAGGCTGTGAAAAAATAGTTTTAAACAAAGTTAAACAGCTTCTTGACTGTAGGATTATTCTCAGCCTTAATTATGCTGTTGTAAGGTAAGGCTGTCTAAACAAGTCATGTATGTAGCATTGCTATGTATATATATTTTTCTATGACTCTCCAAGCAAGTCATATATATGCACCACATACAGTTTAACATTTACCCATCTATCTATTCCAAGTTTCCACATGACCTAAAGCTCCTTTTTACAATAACATCTTATGGGAGTCATGCTTTATAGGAAAGCAGTGGGAAATGTGGATTTAGAGTGATAAGTCAACAAAATCTATATAGATTGTATATGATTTAGTCTGGGCTAAGGGTCTTCTTCTTTAAAAACTGAGAGTCACCTGGAATTTATAATGTCTGCTCTCTTCTTAGTCTAACATCCTCATGTGCGTTAGTTTGAATCAGCAGAATGTTAATGTGAACTCATTCATCAGGGAGCCATCATAGAAACAGGTCAAATAAATTAGAGGACTGTTGGAGTATCATTAACAAGAGATACCTGAGTCAGGCCGACTTACCCAGCAATTACGGTTAATAATGTAAGGCTTAGATAAACACACCCCTGGAAAGCACAGGCAAACACAGCCCTGGTGAGAAGTGCCTGAAGAAAGGCTGTTTCGGTAGGACCTGCCACTCCTACAAAGTGGAACACACAGACTCCTCTTGACTGGGCGTGTCACCCTCGCCAGACCCATTACACAGAAGAACGAAACTAAGGCAGCTGAATGGGCCCTTTGCCATAGCTGCAAAACTTAACCTGTCATGACTAGCACACTCTGTGCTATCTCTTGGGACTAGACAAACACAGCACACAGTGCTAACCACCTACGTCTCCTCTGCTGCACCATTATTTGCAAGACATGTTCATAAATTTCTTCCCATGACGTCTGTGCCAATGCTCACTCCCACCATCAGAAGAAAAATACTACTTTATCTGCTAACTAGAGCCACTAAATCTGCTTTGATTAATATATTGGCTGTTATATTCTTTTTCTGCAAATTATACATTTCCTTCTTCTGTCCAATTACCTGTTGGATGCTTAATTGATGTTGGTTTCTTCCTTTCTTCCTCCTTCTAGCTTTCTTTCTGAAAAAGTTACCATTTTAGATTCTTCATGGTATAAATCTTGAATAATTAAGTATAGTACTTGTTTAAGCACAACTAGAACTATGTTTCTACTCCCTCCCACAGTAGAGTTGTAGGTTACACCAAATTTCACTTTTAGAATTTTTTCTGATAACAAAAATATTGACATTTCCATTCCCAGGCAGACCCCAAATGTGGCAGCTTCTAGCAGCAGCATGCTGGATACTTCTTCTTGGACCTCTATATGGTTGTCACAAGAAAGGAAGCATCACAAATCCTGAAGCTCATATGAATATTGTAAGTCACTCATTAAGGAAAAAAAATTAAGATAAAGAATTAATTATGAAGTTATCATTTTAGTTATAACTGATGTGCTTCTCTAGTTTTCAACAATTCTAAATTGACTAAATCTGTGCCTCCTCCCCTGTTCCTTGACATGGCTATCTAATCTAAGGGTTGAAAGATCTGATTCAAGTTGGGGAGTAATATTCCTTCTCCTGGTAGTTGAGCCACCATCTGATGGTGCCTTACTGGAGAACATGTTCATCAGCCCATACTGGTGATCTCTATAGAGTATCCTTGAGTTCGTCCTGAGTTTTATTCTAGAGCAATTTCTGAGATTTGTGAGCTATGTCGGTGTACTCTTTTAGTTTAGTAAGCCAGAATTGGTTTTGGTTGTTTTAAACCAAAAATACCTTAACATGGAGAAATTCATACTGGAGGTGGAATGGAATAAAATAGAGTGATAGAGCGGAATAGTGCTGGGGGGGCGGGGGGGGGGAGACAAATGACCAATGTCTACTATAGGCTTTATTCTAATGGAATACTCTATATTTCTGTATACAATTATACACTATTGATGTACTTGCCCACACCACTTTATATTAGAACTTTAAGGATGGAACTACCAAAGTTTTAAAATTAGTGTCTCATCTTTTTGCTCTTTACAATGTATCTGGCAGGTACCCCCAATCTTCTATCATATTGCTGAGCCCACAGTCTATAATATATACTGAGTGGCCAGATTATTATGACCACCCCATCAGTATAATGAAGTGAATTAATTATGCAAATAATAATAATAAAACCTTGAGAGTATTTGCTTAGGAAGTTTTCAATATTCAGTATTTTTGGAAGTGTCAATGAAGTACTGATGGGGTGGTCATAATAATCTGGCCACTCAGTGTATGTCCTTAATCCAAATTTTCCTTTCCTTCCATATTCACACACATCTTCTTGTCCTGGTCTAAATGCTTTTTGGCTCTTAATTATTCTATAATGATAATAAGAATAACGAATACTATATAGCACTTACTTTGTGCCAGGCACTGTTCTAGATTCTTTGTGTATGATCCTCACAACAAATCTGTGAAGAGTTACTATTATTATCTTTATTTTATAGTTGAGGAAAATGAGACCCAGAAAGGTTAAGTAACTTCCCCAAAGTTTCATAGCCAGTGAGAGGAAACATTGGAATTCAGGGCCATATTGTTAGTCTCGAGTCTAGAGTCTGAGCTTATAACCACTGCTTCATGTGGCCCCATATGTATACATACCTCTTGAGTGCCTGGCATGGGTTAATACCTAATTTTGTGTTAAGGGCTTGCTTTGGTGCTAAACTTACGTTGGCTTTAATTGTTGTCTTTATCTTTTCCTAGTTGTACAATCTCCGACAGATTGTTAATCTTCTGGAAAATTAGTTTTCTCAACTCCAAAGAAGGATATATAGTCAAACCTTGTTTCTCAAAAGTCTCTCATCTTGAACAATTTCGGTTTTTGACCAAGTTGTTCACAGAAAAAATATCTCGGTTGTCCAATCAAACTTTGATTGTCAACCTGACAACCCTTTCACACTGATACCTCAGTATGACAAAAAGCACCTCTCAGGCAACAAAGGAGAGAATACTTTTGTTGCTGTTGAAATAGATTAGTACAGTTTTAAAACATAAAGAGGCAATCAAGAGTGCTAATGTTGCTAAGGGTGTGAAAGAAGCAATGATCACAGGCAATGTTGTTGATCTGCATAAACGAGAGAGAAGCAGTTAGCTAGTGACAACATTTCGGAGGCAGTGATATATGAACAAGCAAAGATGCTGCAAGCTGTTCTGAAAGACACCACTGGCCTGGACCGAGCGCTCAAAGTGATTCCTTTAAGGCTAGTAGGGGCTTGTTCAATAAAGTTAAGAGAAGAAGTGTTTATTTATAGATTATACAGTACATTAGACATGCACTGTATATAAGAAAGGATAAAACAGGGAACCATTTGGGCATCTGGAACTGATTAATTCAATTTACATTTCTAATGGGGGGAAAATTATTCTGTTTCGAACAAATTGCTTCTCAAACAACCTTCTAGAACAAATTAAGTTTGAGAACCAAGGTGCTACTGTAATTCTATCTGAAAGGCTATATATTGAGATTAATAAAACAGGGGATATAAACCTCTTCTACGCAATCAACAATAGTTCTCTTCTTTGTACTGTTGTAGTCGGTATATCTTTTGTTTACCCCTCTAGAGCCACTCTTATTTTCTTACATTGTTTTCTCTAAGAGGCTGACCTGTAAGAAGAACTAGGTCAATAAGCTCCCTTGAACTTTAGTTTTTAGATCAGTTCATACAATGGAAACCCTGAACAGGAGATCAGAAGGAAGGAGGAGAGTGCAATCAGATGAGTTATTGTCTTGGAGGTCACCTCAGGCAGGCTGTCTCTGCTAGAGATCACAGCTTCTCTCAATGTGGCCCTCTCTACCTGACTTTCTCATTCTGATTCTGGTAACCACTTCCTCTCATCTCCTTTAAGGTAATAGGGAGGAAACAGCTCACTTGATACTAGCCTCAAGGTACTACACTATCACCTATGATTTCCCTCATTAGATGTCCACATAATTTCTTGTCAAAACATTTTGAGAATGAGCCAGTGTGTATTAATAATACCAGGCCAGGAGAACCCAGGTTGTATAGTCACCCAATCTTGCCTCACCCATGCTTTGTAAGCATCCATCCCCAGTTTAAAACCCTCTTCAAATTATCCTGATTTTCCTGCTTTATTCTGTCTCAATACATTGGGGAAGAGTAGGCTGTGGCTGAAAGTACTATATTACAATGCAGGTATAAAAATCAAGAATCACAACATAAATATATATAAATATATATATATATACTAGAGGCCCAGTGCACAAAAATTTGTGCACTGGGGGGGGGGGAGGGGGGAGGGGAGTGTCCCTCAGCCCGGCCTGTGCCCTCTCGCAGTCTGGGACCCCTCGGGGGATGACCACCTGCTGGCTTAGGCCTGCTCCCTGGGGGATTGGGCCTAAGATGGGAGTCAGACATCCCTCTGGCAGCCTGGAAACCCTTGGGGATGTCCACTTGCCAGCGGGGAGCAGACCTAAGCTGCAGTCGGACATCCTTAGCGCTGCTGAGGAGGCAGGAGAGGCTCCTACCACCAACGCTGTGCTGGCAGTCATCAGCCTGGCTTGTGGCTGAGCAGAGCTTCCCCATGTGGGAGCGCACTGACCACTAGAGGGCAGCTCCTGAATTGAGCATCTGTCCCCTGGTGGTCAGTGTGTGTCATAGTGACCTGTCATTCCCAGTCTTTCTGCTGTTAGGGTCAGTTTGCATATTACCCTTTTACTATATAGGATAGAGGCCTGGTGCATGGGTGGGGGCCGGCTGGTTTGCCTTGAAGGGTGTCCCGGATCAGGGTGGGGTCCCGCTTGGGTGCCTGGCCAGTCTGGGTGAGGGGCTGAGGGCCGTTTTCAGGCTGGTCGGGACTGAAGCTCCCAGTCTCTCCTTTTTTTCTTTTTTTTTTTCCTGGGATTTATTTACCTTCTATAATTGAAACATTGTTGCCATCACTGGCACTCCCAGCTCTGAGGCCAGCTGAAAGTAGGTATCTGGGGTTTGTTTAGCTTCTATAATTGAAACATTGTTGCTTTCGGGCTCAGAGCCGGGCAGCGGCAGGTGGGGAACCTTGGCTTCCTCCTTCACTGGAGCAAGCAAACCTCCTGCTCGCTTCAGCTGCGTGGCTGCCGGCCACCATCTTGGTTGGCACTTAATTTGCATATCGCCCTGATTAGCCAATGGGAAGCGTAGTGAAGGAACGGTTAATTACCCTTTTTGTCTTTTATTAGATTAGATGTTTTTCCTCTTTTCAGAGCCAAGTTATTTCGTACTGGGGTTATCCTTATGAAAATTATGATGTTGTGACAAAAGATGGCTATGTCCTCGGAATTTACAGGATTCCTCACGGGAGAGGATGTCCAAGAACAGGTAGGGTTTATTTTATTGTGAAAGAAATAATGCCTAAAGCAGAGATTCCTCAATGTGCTGATAGCAGCAAAGCAGTTTTTATTCTAAACAGAGCCAAGTGCCTTCCCATCAAAGGAGGAAAATCATCACCTCCTCCTCTACTACTCTCTTTCATTTGTATAACCCTTAGGAATTTTTTCAGAATTTTCCAATACACTGTTTATTTAGCCTTTTCTTCTTCACTTTATCCTCCTTCCTAAAAAGCACAAAAAGAAAGGAAAACTTTTTCTTACTCTAGAGATAACTACTTTCCAGCTTAAATCTAGAAACTGAAAGGTCATTTTGATACTTTCTTCTCCCTTACCTCCTATATACAGCCAATCACCAAGATCTATTCATTTTGCCTTCTACATTTCTTTCTGATTCGCAAACTTCTCTCAGCTTCAATATCCCTCAAGTGTAGGTTAACACATCATTATTATCTATTGCTTCAACTAGTACAATAGCTTTTCTAACTGGTATTATATCAGTTGTAATTAGTCCTCCATCCAATTCAGTGGAATTTTATGTTCTTAAGTAAATCTGACCCTATTAGTCAAAAGCCATTAATGCAAAAGCCATTTCTAGCTCGCTGCAATAGATGTTAATATCTGTAGAGAAAAAAGGGATCCATTTGGCAAGAACTGTACTTTCTTTTCTGATTTTTAGCTCCATTTATTCTTTGGAGTGTTGTATAACAAACTCCCTAACATTAGAAGGGTTAATTATTTAAAGAGACAATCTGAATTGGAATGGTGTTGACTTAATAGAACCATCCACTCCCACAAATAACTCTATTTTTAAAAAATATGTTTTTATTGATTTTTAGAAGGAGAGGGATAGAAAGATAGAAACACCAATCAGTGTTCTCCTGCACACCCCCTACTGAGGATTGATCCTACAACCTGGCCATGTGCCCTGACCAGGAATTGAACCTGTGACCTCTTGGTTCCTGGGTTGACATTCAACTGCTGAGCCACACTGGCCTAGCTACTCTAGTTTCTTTATAAATACTCATGAGGACTTTCTTTCCACAAACTTTTATCTTATGATCTCTGCCAGGTAGCTGCCAAAATGCATGAGATGGAAAGCTGCCTCTATAAGAAGAAGCTGCCTGAGGGCTCAGATCAGAGAGGGCTATAAACTATAACTGCTATTTGGTGGTACTTAACTTTAGTAGAATTTGGAATACCTCTTCTTTCTGTTTTCTGAAAAGGTGCATAAATGGGCATAGTTCCTTGCTTCCAAATGGCTGAAGGCTCTCTGAGAGTCCATTCTAGCCTACCCAATCAAAGGAAACTGGTGCAGCACCAAAAGTGACCTTCACAAACCATTTATAAAAGACAAAATAATTCCGATCTCTGGTCACTCTTATCTCCTCTCGAAGTTTCCCAACTTCCTTCTTTTTCTTTTCTGTTGCTTACTCAAATTGTTTCAATTCTACATTATCAATAGGGCTTTTATACCAAATTAACAATTTTATATTGTATAGCATTTCACTTATATTCTTGAATTTTGCTTTCTGAGAGTACAAATTAAATTAAGCTGTGTTTGGAAAATCTAGCATAGTGCCTGGCATTCAACAAATGGCATTTTTATGTTTTTTTGTTATTATTTTGAGAAAAAGTTAGTTTTGTTATCATATACTCTTTAAGGAATAAAATATTACTAATATAAATAATAATAGAGCAAATATTTATTGTGCTGGACAGTCTTATGTATTTTAGTTCTAATTTAATTCTTGTGACTACACTATGAGATAAACTTTTATTATTGCCCATTATACAGATAAGTGAACTGAGTTAACCATAAAGGTTAATACATAGTAGAATAGATTTTGACCAGGACTATCTGACTCCAGCTCCTACAGAATAATATAATACATGATATAAAATCCAAATTTTACAAAGAAAAAAATAAGACATAGAGAAGGTAAATAACTTGCCCAAGTAAGTAGTTCAGAAAGGACTAGAACCTGGGTTTGCCTGGCACCAAATTTCATCTTTTCGTGTATATACTACAGGAAGGCAGGAAAGAGACTTCTCTTATAGACACTGAGAAAGTTAATGTGAAATTCTTGTTGCCTGTTTTGCAGATCCAAGACCTGTTGTGTATTTGCAACATGGCTTAGTCGCATCTGCCAGTAACTGGATTTGCAACTTGCCCAACAACAGCTTGGCTTTCCTTCTAGCAGATACTGGTTATGATGTGTGGATGGGGAATAGCCGGGGAAATACCTGGTCCAGAAAACACTTGAAATTCTCACCCAAATCACCAGAATTCTGGGCCTTCAGGTAAAAAAAAATATATATATATATATACGCACACACACACATATATAAACATTTGAGTGTCTGGTTCACAAGCTTTTCAACTAAAACCTTGATATATATACATATATATATATATATATATATATATATATATATATATATATAATAAAGTGTGTATTTTGTCATTTATATATGAATGAACACCCTTTTATTTTTCCCTTTCTGTTCAAATACATCCAATGGAATTCACAAGAAGAAAACGAATATTTCCACCTCTACACCGACTTTCTTTACGGGCTCTGAAAAAAAGGCCCTTATGATTGCACTTATGTTTGATTTTAAAACACCACTTGCTGTATGCATGTGTATGCAAAATATATATGCAAAAAAAATCAAAATGCAAAGGTCAGCTTTAGAAAGGTTAGTTCCAAGACTATCACTTTGTCCATATGGACCCCAAAAGAAGTTGATATGGTGCTCTTATTAAAGAGGAATTGATTGAGAAATGGGACCAGAAACAAGGTTTTAGTTGAAAAGCTTGTGAACCAGACACTCAAATGTTTACTCTCCAAGAAGTGAAAGAACTCTGCCCTCCATCGGAGGACAGTGCGGAAACCTGCCCCTGGAGTCAGGTCTTGGTCATGGGATCAAACCCCTGTATTTGCATAAGAGCGAAGAACCATACCTTGAAGGTCATTAAAGCAGTTTTCCCTTGGCCTCATTCCTGCCTTATACCTGGAAGCGATTTTGCATTTCCTAATTCCACACCCAGTGCAGGTGTTTCATTAAACTATTGCAGATAACATGATGGTTCCCTACGTGAGTGTTTTCCCAACTACACACACGAAAAAAAACCACCTGAGGTGATTGATAAATACTCAGATTATCACGAGTCTTCACTGACTCAGTGTTTCTGGGCTGAGGTCTGCAAAACGGTTTGCTTTTATCTAGGTCATTGTTCTTTTTAAGGGAGTTTGGTAAATCTGCTGTAGAATTAGGTGAAATATGACTGGCCTTTTAGGAAAAGCCTTTGTAGATCTTTGCAAATCAGATTTTTCTGGTTCCATTTTCTTAACAACGTTATTCTTGCAATCAAGGTGACATCCTCAAAAGTCACAGAGACCCATAATATCATATATTGACTCTAGTCTTAATATTTAAGAAAAGCGAATGTCTGCAATGAATGTGTTTGGATATTGCAGGCCTAACAATGAGATATGTTTTTCCAATTTTGTTGTTTTCTTCTTTTGCAGTGTGGATGAGATGGCTAAATATGATCTTCCAGCCACGATTGATTTTATTGTAGAGAAAACTGGACAGGAGCGACTCTTCTATGTGGGCCACTCCCAAGGCACCACCATCGGTGTGTTTGGGGCAAGTGTGATCTGAGAGTGTCAGAGGATCTTCTTCCATATTTATGAAAGGGATCAGGATTTATTCCCTCTGTGCACAGTCTCTAGCTTGGGGACTTGAGGTGGGAAACCCTTTCCTCTGGCTGATTTTTGAAGATTAAATGAAACAAGAACCACAACAATGATTTCTTTTCCCGTTGGACTGAACCTATGTAGATTCATAATGATGCCAGAAGGATTATTTATAATTCTCTCATAATACATAAATGTATTTATTTTGAGAGAATTATTTATCTATGTGCACAACAAACAATTTCCAGACACTCGGTAAGAAATAAATATGGTATACATCTTTCCTTTAAAGATCTCGTAGTCTAGAGAAGACACCAAAAGGAAAGCAGAAAATTATAAATCCCACTGATTATATGCCACAATTAGTGTGCCTTTCACTTCCCAGGGTGCACTGGGCCAGAGTGGATGTGGATGGGGCCATGCCTCAGAGCCATGAGACACTTCACTCCTTTCACGGCTCCCCATTCAGCTACAGACCTCAACAATGCCAACAGCATTTCCCCCAGTCTCTTTTCTATATCTTAATCCTAATTAGGTTTCTAGTATAAAGCTGGTCTTTATATGCCTGAACTATACTATGCACCTTACATACATTCTCTCATTGAAAACTACAGACATGTGAAACCATTATCATTCATATTTTACAAATGGTAATATAGAGATCCTTTCTAATGGTGATACTGCCAAATAATATGTATGTATTTTAACCTTTAAAAGAATCATTCTATGAGGATTCTTTTTTCCACATTTACAGATTAAGAAAACTGAGACTTATACAGGGTAGATAACTTACCCAAATCTTCACACAGCTGGTAAATGGGAAGCCAAAATTATAGCTCAGTTTTGTCTGATACTAAAGACTGTGGTTGAGCAGGAATGGTCCTAGGAATTTACCTAGACATACCCCACAAGGGATATTTGAACCCTCTCTGCAATTCTTGTCCTCTCTGGAGACAGAAAACACTTTATTCTGCATTAGCCAATTCCATTCTTGAGAAATTTAGAAAAATCCTTTCTACAGATGGTGTTTACTCTGAGTTATTTTATGTTTGTTTTGTTGTTGTTTTTAATATAATACTTCTGCTATCATTTAAGATAAATTAAGAATTGTTATAAACTAGTGTCTTCTTCCCTTTCAGCTTTCATAGCATTCTCTACAAATCCAGAGCTGGCTAAAAGGATTAAAATATTTTTTGCATTGGCTCCAGTCATTACAGTGAAATACACCCACAGTCCTCTGAGAAAATTAACAAATCTTTCCAGAGAAGGAGTCAAGGTATGTGACTTCTCCAGTTTAAACCTGTAGAATGAAAACTAGCTCTGTTCCCACTGATTTCAATAGAAGGAAACCAAGTGACATTTTACAAACCTCTGAGACTATAATAAGTGTTGGAGGTATCCATGTAAGCTTACTGATGATGTGCAATTTTAGTAATAGGGTTCAGGGGGCTCACTCTGATGCCATTCTACCCTGTTATCTTCATCAATGTCTTCTCTCTCATGTATGTCATTCCTCAGTTACAGATAAAGCAAATGCTGAATTGATTTGTTTAATCTAGTAGGTTAAATTTCTCCCCAGTGGCCCCTGGTTTCTGAGGGGCAGTATGAGTAGTGGTTGAGATCACAGTGTGAAGCCAATGGGGTCTTTGACCCCAGATTTTTCTACTAGCCGACAGCTAACTAAACTGATCACTTATCAAGGAGGATTGGTCTATGTGTATTGGTGTTTTTTCCTGTTGCATATTAATATGGCTTCTCCCCTACTAGACAAAAGGTAATCACAGTGTATAATTGAAATCAATGATTTCAATTAAAGCAAATAAAGCTGAGACAATTTTTATAGAAGCCAGGGATTTTGATTGGTAAATAATAATAATAATAATAATAATAATAATAAGCAAATTAACCTATGATGAGTCAATTCTATACTTATACAACCCAGAAACACAATAGCAGGAAAACCACTAAGCAACATGGAAAATGCTCACATTTCCCTCTTGTACCATAGAGATTCAGCCTAGACTGGGCCCTATGCTGGGTAAATAGCTTGCTAATTTATTTTAGCATTTCCACACAGCTAAGAGATATTTCGAGATGGTGGGCTCTTTCTATTTTTCTCAATTTGTACAGCTCTGCTTCAGCCTTTCACACGTTTTGAAATGCCAGTGGTGTAGTGCAGTTCAATTCAATTCTGTGAAAATATATCTAGGAGCTACTATTTCAAAAGCATAGCATCAGAAAATGGCTATGTCTATAAAGGTACATTCAGCTGATTGGTATGACTGAAAATTAGGGTGCATGTGAGAGTCATGGTAGACTTGACTAGGGACAGTAGGGGACAGTAAATGGAAAACGATTGTGTCATGTTAAGGAGTTTTGATTTTTGTTCTGTTAGTAATGGGAAGCCAATGAAGTATGTTAAGCAGAGAAATGGCTTGATCAGATTTGTAGTTTTCGAAAGGCTACCCTGAAAGAGCTTTAACTCCAATAGAGGAGCTACCACATATGACCCACTAATTCCTAATTGTCTCTCTTTTCTCTAAATTATAGCTTGCTTTGACCCTTTGCTTTTTTTTAACATATTATCTACAACAATAAGGATTATTAATATTGCCTCCATTTCTTAAAAGAAGAATTTGAGTTTCAGAGAAGCTAAGCATTCTGTCCCAAATCACCTAGTGAACGGATGACAGAACCAGAATTTGAATCCAGATCTGATCAGACCATCCATGGCCAGTGCCCTTTTTATATGTTGTCATTTTCCATGCCAACCTGAAGACGTCAGTCTTAGATCCTTATGCAGCCAAACAGGCTATCGAGTCCAGTATGTAGCTATTTATGGAGCTCAGCTATTGAATCCAGTCCGTGTTCTGCTTGGCCAGCCATGTGCCCTGGCATGGGGCCATGTGTGCAGAATAAAAGGGGAGAGGGCTTTTCTAATTCTCATACAGGTGCCAAAAGAGTTAACAGAAAAAGCCTATCTCTATACTGCTATGAGACAAACATGCCCCCTCCAGAACAAACTTGGAATTACAGTGACAAGTCAGCATGTTTACCACTCTCCAAGTGGATGCTATATGGCTACTTAGTCTGCATTATTACCCTCCCTTTTAGGTTAAAAGAGCAATTATTTATTCTTAGGTAAATGGGTGGTAGTTTAGCTGAGTCATTCATGCATGGACATAGCAGTGGAGTCAAGTCAGAGACTACCATGCTAATTCACTCTGTCTTTAGGAAAATCAACTGTCAGAACAAAGAACAAGGACCCCTTATGATAGCTATAACCTCTTTTTTCAAAAGTATTTCCCTCGTTGATTACTCTCTGAATTGGCTGTTTTCTTTCACATGAATTTTCTGCCAAGTGTGGATGACCAAGATATTGGTAAATGAAAAACAAAAATATCCACTGAGTTAAATCAGATCCTGCCTTCTACTTTAACTTATTCCTGTGGAGATCTATTTAGGTTATCACACTTGAGAACATAGATGTCGACATTCTATTAAAAGATAGGTACTATTAAAAAAACAAATAAAAAAATAAAAGATAGGTACTATTATTAAACTACCATGTAGACAGTTATATAGGAAGAGTTACAATTTGTTAAGTGGATTAACCCACTGATTGGGATAAAGTGAATAAGAGGCCAGAATAAATTAGATAATTTCTGCAATGGTTAATTATTGTTTGTCAGACCTAAAGAAGTATGATTTGAATGAGTTTAACATATTGTAGCCTCTCCCTTCTTTCCTTATTTCCTCCCTCCCTCCCTCTCTCTGGCACTAAGGGTTATATTAAGTCATGACATATCATATACTTCATTAATATTCCATGGAATATAAGATATTCCATTGAATGAAGATTATCTTTGACTGTATAAGGTAACTATTTTTTAAGCTCAGAATTTAACAAATTATAACCAGTAGGAATTTACTAGATCTAGTTTACCAAAGATAGTGTAACACATTGTAAGGTATTTGTGTAATAAAAGTAAATGCTATTTATTGTTGTCTTTTAGTCAATTAATGAAGGATTCCAGGAGAGAGATATGACAGTTGTTTTTTTGGGTTTTGTTTTTTTTTTTACTATAAATGGAGGTTTCCAAAAGTTTTAAGAATAAAAAGAAATCTTTTTAGCTTTATATCTAGTTTATTATCCTATGATCATAAAACTAGTTATTATTTTTTAAAAATGCAACATTGTACTTATATGCAAGGAGTTTAGATATTAATTTATGTTTTAATTTCAAGAATTAAATTAAATTTCTTAAAGTTCAAAAGATAAGTTAAACTTACTTGTAACATTGCTTGAAATTCTACTAGTAGAGATTCATTTCTTTGGGTTCAGTTTTTGCCCCTAGAGTTCATTAAAAGATTCTGCAAGGAATGACTCTTTAAGTCTGTGTCAGTCACTGGGTTCTAGAAAATGCACGAGGTGCCTTTTAAACATGACCTTTTATCTTCATAGCAGTCCTACTTAGTGCATATTACGTTTCCATTTTATAGTTGAGAAATTTCAGGATAATAGAAAGTAAATACTTTCCTAAGGTATAAGAGACAGAGTCCAAAATCAAACCAAAGTATCCCGTATGCCAAAGCCTTAACAGTGTTCTGTGGGGACTCATTTCTTAGGGGGCATTACAAAAATACTCCAAGTAAAGGATCTTGGGAAAAGAGGTGAGTTGGAAGAACTACAAGGACAAAATTTAACGGAACTCCCAGTTTCACTGAGTTAGTTATAAGTACTAAGAAGATGTCATCTTCTGTCCAGTACTTATCTGAATTACCACTCATTTTCCACTCTTGACATGCACATCTATGAAATTTGATTGTGTCTTAAATTGAACTTGCAGGTGTTATTTGGTGACAAGATGTTCTCTCCTCATACATTTCTTGAACAATTCATTGCCACCAAAGTGTGCAACCAGAAGCTATTTCATCGTATTTGCAGCAACTTCCTATTTTCTTTTTGTGGATTTGATCCAAAAAACTTAAACATGGTACGTGTAAATAGATGGGTTGGGAAAGCAAATGTTTTGTTAAACAGCAGTTAGGAGGTTTCATTCTAAATTGCATACAAACTACATTCATGATCTGCTTTTTTTGTCTCTGGAAATGTAATTAGCATGTTCGTGGCTTCCCACCAAAGCTGAGTCCACCTGGTTTCATAGGAGGATTTGAGAAGAAGGTTTTTTTTGCTGAAAATTCTCATCAACTCTTGCTAGTGGCCAAAGCACCACATTGAAAAGTCCTTCACTTTGACTATGGCTATGGTTTTGAAATTAATCTTGCTGTGCATGAGCCCTATCTCAGACCTACTGAAGTAGAATTTTAGGGAGTGAGCTCAGGTATCTCTATTTTTTAAATCATTTTTTTTTTTTACTTTCATAAGTGATGTGGAAATGGCCATTTTGTGAGCCACTTCTTTAACTCAAAGGGATGGAGGGGTGGCTCTTTAATGATAGCTATACATTCACTGTTTAAGGGATATTGAGACGAATAAATGTTAGAGTTCTTGTCCAGTCCTTTCCAACTTAATTGAGATCCTTTCCGTTTTTTAGTTACCACTAGCTGACCCAGAGTGGGAATGAAAAAGAGAGGAAGTTACTGTTTACTCCCCAGCCAGGGAGGAGATATGTTTGTAACCAGAGACAAAGCTGAAGTTGGTTTCCACCTATGTCACAGATTCTGCCCAGAGACTTGTATCTCTCTGTCAATGGAAAGCACTGATTAACACTTTCCTTGATTTCAAGCAAGATTTATAAAAGATTGTTTATGAAAAACATGTTTTAGCCACTGCCTTTTCACATCTTAGGGAATCCATGCTTGCCTATCACTTAGATGGAAGCATTTCATGTAGGTAAAGGTAAGTAAAAAGACCTTTAAGCAAACTCAATAGAGATAATTTCAAAAGCACCCTCTCAACATGGTTTGAGAGTTTGCTAAAGAAAAACTTCACAAAATAACACAGTTGAACATAAATTGGGGGGGGGGGGCCCTGTTGTATATTTATATAGTGAGAATGCCTTTTTTCTCACTGTTGGGTACTGGGCTATGGAATATTACAATGCCTGCAAGAATGTTTATTTTAGTACAGTATAACCAGGAATACCTAAGCAGAGCATTTGCAGAACTTTGAAAAAATACACATGTCCAGAACTCAGTCTTAGAGATTTTAATATTGATTCTAGGTTTGGGTAACTCATAAGTAGTATTTTTTTAAGCTCCAAGATGTTTCTGATGTCAACTTTGGTGGAAAATAACTCTTTTATATACTAAAAAAAAATGCAATTGAAATTATGGAAAAAAAATCAAGGGTTTTTAAAATTCAGAATAAATTTAAGAGTTAATGGAGGTTAAAATATTGGATGGATTATGTCCCACAAACTTTCAAAGAGCCTTGCAGAATATTACCACATTTTAAAAATCAGATGACAAAGTGAACATTCAGATTTGTTCTCAATGTCTTACAACGAACAACTTTCTCAGAATGTCTTTTGGGACATGACATCGGGTGAAGAAGATGACTTCTTGTCCTCTTAGACCTGTCCCAGGCAAGACTGGAAAGAAAAATCTGCATTATCTTCTGTCTTTGACTAGTGGGAGGTTCTCTGTGGGCTCTATGAGACACTGCTCAGGACAGAAGAACAGAGCTAAGGGAAGGGAAAGTTCTTAAAGATGGGCTTCTTTGGATAATGAGCCTTCAGAGGTTACGCTATACGTTTATTCCTAAAAGAAAAACAGAGAAAAGATATTCACATTTACTTGTGATGTGATTATACGATGAGCCTTCAAATGAGACATAATCTCTTTACTTTACAGAGTCGCTTGGATGTTTACTTGGCACATAGCCCGGCAGGAACATCTGTTCAGAACATGCTCCACTGGGCCCAGGTGCGTGCTTCCTGTTTCTGATATGAGACACACACCTCCGCAAGATCCCCGAGGAGAGCTCCCAGAGAACTCCCTGCAGGGTTTTGCAGGCACCTGCCACTGTCCAGTTGGTGTTCTAGAATCAGCGTGAACTCATGCGGGTTTCCTTTACACCCTTCTAGTCTTCACATCTTCAGTGTCTGGAGTTTGGGCTTGGTTCCTAGACATATTCACTGACTTCTGATCCTTAGATTACCCCAAACTGCTTTTTCTAGGAAAGCTTGTATTTTCTCCTCTTGGAAATCACTAGCTTTAATAGAACTTTATGTGTCATGATATAGACTATTTCACCCTCCAGTTGGCATATAGGCCATTTCAGAGCGTGAAAATAATTCAGAGAAATAATTTAGAGAAAATATTAGGGAGGGATTAAAATAGATTAGTGTTGTCTACTTTTACCCTCAGCTTTGTATGTGCATGTATTACTCTATTACTCAATATTTGACAAGCTCAAAGGTAAGTCAAATTCGATTAGTATAGTTGTCTGACCCAAGTGTGTGTGTGTGTGTTGTGTGTGTGTGTGTGTGTGTGTGTGAGTGTGTGTGAGAGAGAGAGAGAGAGAGAGAGAACTTCCCAAAGTTTATATATAGCTGAGATCTCTAGGAATTTACCCTACACCCTGTTCTTTGCTTTAAAATTTAGAATCACTGCTATAGATAGCCTGACACACTAGCTGAGAGTTTCGGAAATTCTTTGAAGAGTTCTACCTTCAGGAGATAAGCCTTCACACTCAAATAGGGAAAATGAAGTTTGAGTCATAGGGCCTCCTACTGGTGAGGAGACAGAGCCTCTCTGCTATTTATGTACATGGTTTCATTCAGTATCATCAAATTCATTCTCATAACAATCTTTCAATAAAGACATCGATATCTCCATTCTACAAATGGAAGCTCCTCCAGTTGCAGGCTCCTCCCTGGCCTGAGCCCCTGGTCGGGGCTCATGCAAGAGGCAACCAATTGATGTGTTTCTCTCACATCGATATTTCTCTCTGTCTTTCCCTCTCTCCTCCACTCTCTAAATAGCCAATCCTTTACACATGCACAGCTGACACTTCTTAAAAAGTACCCTTCTCTGGCAGGAAGTCCTCTTCAGGATAGAAATAAAGATGGGGGATAAAATATTTGGTCATCAGTTACATAGACAAAGATGCAGATGATGGTAGTAATATTAGTGAAAAGAGATTTGAACTTTTCTAGGTGCTACATGTTTTTATGCATTGCCTTATTTAATCTTCACAACCTACAAGAAGAATATTATTGTCATTCCTATTTCACAGGTGAAAAAATAGGTTTAGAGAAGATAAATATCTTGTCCTGGACCTCCGGTTCAATATTCTGTTAAGCCTGGATTCAAACCAGGTCTGTTTGATGCCAGAATCCAAGTTCCTAGCTAGTACAGTCTATTGCTTCCCATTGTTGAAAATTTGCAGAATTTCAATAACAAAAGGTTGCTGACTCTGTCAATATAAATCTGATGGGAATCATTTAAAACTAAAAATCAAGTTTAAATCAATGAGTGTGAAAAAAAACCTTTAGAGCCCTAGCCAGTTTGGCTCAGCGGATAGAGCATAGGCCTGTGAAACAGAGGATCCTGGGTTCGATTCCGGTCAAGGGCATGTACCTCAGTTGCAGAGTCCTCCCTGGCCCAGGCCCCTGGTCAGGGCTCATGCAGGAGGTAAACAATCGATGTGTTTCTCTCACATCAATATTTCTGTCTTTCCTTCTCTCTTCTACTCTCTAAATATCAATAGAAAAATATCCTCGGGTTAGGATAAATAAATAAATAAATAAATGAGTTAAAAAACAAACACCTTTAGTCAGAATAATTTAATGAAGTGCTTGATGTAAAGGTAAAAATTATCTGTCTCTTCTAATCGGCATCGGTGGCAAATAACAGAAAAAAGAACCCCTAGGTGTATGAATGTTTCTATTCCAACATCTGATCTAAAATTAAAATGCAATCATAGGCATGCATGGCACCTCAGACATGCAGCCTGTGGCCACATTACTGATAAGGCGGCAGGATGTTTGGCCTTGCAGACAAAAGGACACAGCCATGCCACACCTCCCACAGGAAGCACTGAGAAGTTCTGTGAATAAACATTCCTTTCAATAGTAACAAAATTGTTTAAGAATAATGAGTAACATTGTAATATCTTAGACCACCTGATAAGGATAGTAAGGTTTAAAGTTGTTTAAGAATAATGGCCGTCATTTTTTAATGTAGGAGTTACATAGGTGGTGCCTTTAAAAATTATGTATAAAAATTCCTTAAGCCAAGATATTTAAGAATCATTCAGTTCAGCATCTTTTTAAAAATGTCTGTGTATAGCATTGTAACACTTAAAGGCATTGCAGTCTGAGGATTTTCATTGGAAAATTATAGGGGGGAATATAAGCTTGATAATCAGTTTCATTAATTAGTATAAATTTGTATCATTGTTATTATTTGGCTTATTAGTCTTTATGAAATTTTCTCATGTGCTAAAAAGTGGAACATAATGTCAATCTTCTCTGTATATTTCTTGTTTATTGTCTCTAAATCTATGCTTTTATATTATTTTAATGTGTTTATTCTTTTTATTTTGTTATAGGCGGTTCATTCTGGTGTGTTCCAAGCTTTTGATTGGGGAAACCCTTATCAGAACATGATACACTTCCAGCAGGTATGATACTAACAATCATCAGTTGCATATTGCAAATGAACTAATAATATAGGGTGGGGCAAAAGTAGGTTTACAGTTGTGAGTATGCAAAACAGTTTATTCTTGTATTATTATTATTCATCATGTTATTTTTCATATGAACAACTATAAACCTACTTTTGTCTCTACTCATTAAGTACTTAGTAGGTCCCAAACTATGCCAGCTATTTTATGTAGATCAGATGTTACTTATTGGTTTCTTACCATGTGCTGTATCATTATTTTTGATCTTCATAATGACCTTGCAAGGCTCAGGGGGATTAGGTAAATTGTTGAAATTATTTAGCTAGTAAAGAACCAAAATATGATCCAGGGGTTTCTGGATCTAAAGTCCATTCTTCTTCCAGTATCTTCTCAAAAAAAGAGAGAGAAAGGAAGGAAGGAAGGAAGGAAGGAAGGAAGGAAGGAAGGAAGGAAGGAAGGAAGGGAGGGAGGGAGGGAGGGAGGGAGGGAGGGAGGGAGGAGGGAGGAGGGAGGGAGGGAGGAGGGAGGAAGAAAGAAAGAAAGAAAGAAAGAAAGAAAGAAAGAAAGAAAGAAAGAAAGAACTCTTAGCGCTTGAGACCATATTTTAAAGAGAGAAATAAAGATACATAATTTATGTTTCTAGAACATATTCTCTGACTTCTTATCCATCTCTCATAAAATGAGCTAACACTGTCTTATTAACACTGTCTTGGAAAGTCATTTGCTATTCATTTTTTTAATAAACAATAAAGGATAATTAAAGATACACCAAACAGAAATATTCCCCTCAGGAAGAAGCAGTGCTATCTATCAGCCAGAGAATGGTATGTCAAGATATTTCCTGACATTATCTGTGAAAACCGGGTAGGGGACATGCCTAGGTTGAGGGCTTGATCCCCAGTAGGAGGTGTTCAAGAGGCAGCAGATCAATGTTACTCTCTCTCCCCCTCTCCCTTCCTCTCTGTCTCTCTCTCTCTAAAACATAATAATAAAATTTTTTTAAAAAAGATACAAGGGTTTTACAAATCAGGGCTGAGGAAATTTGGAAACTTTTTCAATAGCAAATTTAAAGTGCCACCATATTAGCTACAACAGTAAAAATGCGTAACTTAATTGGTGTGAAAAATCCGATTTTCCTCTAAACTGCTATGGTTATATGTATGTAGGTGGATGTGCCCAAACAGACAAACATGCTATGGCGTAGTACCATTTACTCTTGTAATTAACCGATTCCCTGCTTTAGCAAGAGTATAGAGCTGCCCCAGAAAAAGCTGGTAGATGATGGCCTCCCCATGTGAGACTCAGATACCTGTTTGGATAAGATCTGACGCACAGGTATTAGCTTTATCATTAAGCTTACACATTCTATTTTTTAAAATGGTGATTCAGGTTTCGCTATGAAAAGTTTGTGTAGGACTTTGGGAGAAAATAAGAAAAACCCAAACAAAATGAGGGAAAACTGTTTGCTGCCAAAATTAACTGTTGTATATTCATCTGCTCAGGCTGAGATTTAAAAAAATACCGTAACTGAGTGGCTTAAACAGCAGAAATGTATTTGTCACAGTTCTGAAAGTCGGAAGTCTGAGAACAGGGCAGCTAGTCGGGTTCTGGGGAGGGCTCCCTTTGGCTGGCCGAGCGCCTCCTCCTTGCTATGTGCTCACATGGTCTTTCCTCGGTGTGTGCTCTTGGAGAGAGAAAGAGACCTCTGTCTCCCCTCCATATAAGGCCATCAATCCTATTGGATTTAACCTAATCACCTCCTAAAAGCCTTATCTCCAAATACAATCATATTTGGGGTAAGGGTTTTAACATGTGAATTTAGAGGGAAAACAAGTTAGTCCGTAGCAAATGGTAAAAGTTAAGACTTCCAGTTGCAAGTAGCAGAAACAAACTCTATTATACTGCTTTACTGAATTAAAATGTATAATGGTAAACTCACAATAGCCAGGAACTTAAACACTGGCATTGGCGTTCGCTCTCTCTTGCTTTTTCTCTCTCAATTCTGCCTTCATATGCTGTTTCCATTTTTAAGTTCTTTCCAGGATAGTAGAAGTAGGATGGTGACTGATGTATCTAACTCACACAGTGCTTCCAACTGCAAACCCAAAGGGAAAGGCAATGTTTTTCTTAATAGCTCTGGCAAAAAGTTCCAGGGAGAACTCGGGCCCTGTTTTAGTCATCTCATATAATCACTGTGGCCAGAAGAATGAAGAACAAATTGGCCAGGCCTGGTCCCCTGGACTACCCTGAAACTGGGGGAGTGGAATTTGTCAAATCAGCATGAGAGTGGTGTTACCAGAAAGAAGGGGGCAGGAAAAACTTTCCAGGCCCGATTTTTCTGTAACAAGCTGGCTTTTTAACATTGTATTTCAAATGTGTGTTTTTTATGTACGGGTCTCAACGCTCCCTGAAGAGGCTGCTCAAATGTCAATAATTCCCTGGGCCCAGACTTCTGCATATGTGGAGGGGTATTGATATTTGTCCTATTTTATCCCATCCAAAATTTTGTTTGAAAAGGACACATTCCCAGTCCAAGTGCTACTAGAAAGATGCCCCACCAAAGAAATGCGTCCCTTTTCTCTAGGATCCTTTTCTATTTCCCCAAAAATCAAATAAAAAATATAATGGTGGTCTTTTAAAATGTACAATTCATATTTTGGTACTAAAGTGCTTTCAAGTAAATTTCACATTTTAATGTTTATATATCACTAAGTGTATCCTAACTGCACATTTTTAACATTTAAAGTAGATGCTTAAAAACCGATTTTGTTACTTCTCTAATGTGATTTTTCGTGAACACTCTTCTTTTTTCTCTCCCTCTCTTTAACTGTATTTAGTTTACGCCTCCCTTATACAACATTACTAAGATGGACGTGCCAACAGCAATGTGGAGTGGTGGACATGACATTGTGGCTGATCCCAGGGACATTGAAAGTTTACTCCCGAACATCACCAGACTTATTTATTACAAATGTATTCCACACTACAATCATGTGGATTTTTACCTTGGACAGGATGTTACCCAGGAAATTTACCAGCACCTAATTAGAATGATGGAGGACTATTGCTAAAATGAAACACACTCACCTTTTCCTAAGCAGCAAGTTTCCATGAGAATAATGTGGCACACAGACCCAAAGGTGACCCCTCCAATGACTTTTACCTCCTCATGTCCATGCATCTGTGTAGCTCACCTTCCTTGAGTTAGGGAAGCACCTGAGACTTGCTCCTAGGATTGGCAAAGGTGACGGGATGGCACACCCTCAATTAGATTATGTTTATGGCAAAGGTGCTGGGATGTCATTCTCTGATTACTTTATATTCTGTAAGAAACCATCTTAGCAGACTGGAGCAAGAAATTCTCCCTGTTGTCCTGATGAAGTAAGCAGCTATGTTGAGGAAACCCACATAGAAAGGCACTGTGTCTGGCTTCTAGGATCTGCAGGTGACCGCCAGCTAATAACTTGCAAACAGTCGGGACACTCAGTCATAAGACCCTCAGGCAGTGGTTCTCAACCTTCCTAATGCCGCAACCCTTTAATACAGTTACTCATGTTGTGGTGACCCCCGACCATAAAATTATTTTCGTTGCTACTTCATAACTATAATTTTGCTACTGTTATGAATCGTCATGTAAATATCTGATATGCAGGATGTATTTTCATTGTTACAAGTTGAACATAATTAAAGCATAGTGATTAATCACAAAAACAGTATGTAATTATATATGTGTTTTCCGATGGTCTTAGGCGACCCCTGTGAAAGGGTTGTTCGATCCCCAAAGGGGTCGTGACCCACAGGTTGAGAACCGCTGCTCTAAGGGAATGAGTTCTGCCTAGAACTCGAATGAGCTTGGAAGCCCATTCTTTCCCAGGAAAGCCTGCATTTGAGAAAGCAGCCTGGCCAACACTTGGATTGCAGCCTGGGGACACCTTGAGCAGAGGACCTAGCTATGCCATGCCTGAGTACTGACCCACAGAAACAGTGAGGTAATAAACATATATTGTTCTGAACTGCTACATTTGTGGGCATTTGTTATCAGCAATAGTAAACTACTACTATTGTAATAATACTAAAGTATTATCATTGTTACTAGAGACCCGGTGCACGAAATTCATGTAGGGGGTGGGGGGGAAGGAGTACTTCAGCCTGACCTGCACCCTCTCCAACCTGGGACTCCTTGGGGGATGTCCGACTGCTTCTCGCAATCTGGGACCACTGGCTCCTAACTGCTCACCTGCCTGTCTGCCTGATTGTTCCTAACTTCTCTGCCTGCCTGCCTGATCGCCCCTAACCACCTCTGCCTGGATGCCTGATCACCCCTAACTGCTCCCCTGCTGGCCTGATTGCCCCTAACCACCTCTGCCTCGCCCCCCACCCGGAACCCGGGCTTCCCTCCCTCTGGTCGGCCGCAGGCACCCAGGACCCAGGCCAGCTTCACCCAGACTGGCCACAGCCGCAGGGGACCGTGTGCAGGCAGCTTCACCTGGGCCGCAGCCACAGCTGCCCAGGACCGCGGAGTGGGAGGTTTGCCCCTCTCCCAGACCACAGCCCCAGCCGCTGGAGCCTGGGACCATGGGGTGGGCGGCTTGTTCCTCTCCTGAGCCACAGCCTGGCTAGTTCCCATTATTCTCTTGTGAGCTCATTTATGCCTGCCTGGTCCCCATTCCTCTCTCCCCAGTGTTGAGTGTCTGAGCCATTATGGTGTGATGGTGTGAGGGTGTGACAACCATTTGCATATTAGCTCTTTATTATATAGGATTATACAAGATTATTGTTATTTTGTCTCTGATTAGAAGCTTGAGAGACCCTGCCCTTATTTCTCTTTGTCTTATTTCCTTTGGCCTGAGGAACTTTGAACATAGCTCATTTTGCAGATCTGCTAGTGATGGACTTTCTCAGTGTTTTTTTCTGCAAAAAAAATTTATTTTGCCTTCATTTCTTCATGTTTTATTATAGTTAGGACATTTAACATGAGATTGACCCTCTTAATGGATTTTTAAGTTATTGTTACCTATAGGTACTATGTTGTACAGAAGATCTCTAGCACTTTTCTTCTTGCCTAACTGAAACTTTATACCTATTGAATAACCCTTTTTTTCCCTCTCTCCCAGACCCTGGCAGCCACCATTCTACTCTTTGCATCCAAAAGTTTGACTATTTTATATACTATTTTATATACATGGAATTATGAAGTATTTGTCCTTCTGTAACTGGCTTATTTCACTTAGTATAATGTCCTTTAGGTTCATCTATGTTGTTGCAAATGGAAACATGTCTTTTTTGAAGTCTTAATTACTATTGTATGTATATACCATGTTTTTCTTATCCATTTGTTCATCAATGAACATTTAGATTGCTTCCATACATTGGCTATTGTGAATAATGTTGGAATGAACCCAGGGTACATATATCTTTTCAAGATCTTAATCTCAATTCTATTGTATATATGCACAGAAATGGGATTGCTGGATCACATGGTAGTTCTATTTTCAATTTTTTGAGAAACCTCCAGAGCAATGTCACCATTTTGTATCTCCACCAACAATGTACAAAGGTACTAATTTTTCCACATCCTTGACAACATTTGTCTTTTGTTTTTTGATAATAGCCATCCTAACAGGTGTGAGGTCATATCTTATAATGATTTTGATTAACATTTCCCTGGTGATTAGTGATGATTGAAAGAAGACAAAGATTTGGCTCCCAGAATTTCTAGCTGGGCAGATTGGTGAATTATTATAATTTTGCCTTCATTTCTGAAAGATTTTTTTTCTGACAATAGACTTTTAGATTGTTCTTCTTCATAATTAGTTGTTATTCTTTCAGTGCTTTAAAATTGTTGGTTGACTTTTGGAATGCATAGTTTCTGATAAGTATGCAATACCATATAGGTTTCTTTGTACTTAATGGACCTTTTTTGTTTTTAAATATACTTTTTGCCAATAATTGCCAGCAATTTGATTTGGGCAAACCTGGTTGTGGTTTCGTGTGTATTTTACTTGGAATTATAAAAGCTTCTTATATCTGGGCATATACAGCTTTCATCAAATTTGGAAAAATTTTGTCCATGATTTCTTCAAATATCTTCTGTGCTTTACTTTTTCTGGGTCTCAATACATATATGTTAGACCACTTGCAGTTGACTCACAAGTCACTGAAGCTGTGTTTTCCCCCCAGTATTTTTCTCTGTGTGCTTTATTTGAGACAGTTTCTGTTCCTATGGCTTCACATTCATAAATCTTTTCCTTTGCACTGTCTAATCTGCTGTAACTATAGCTGGTGCATTTTTAAAATTTTGGATACTGTATTTTTCATCTCTAGAAATTCCATTTAGGTCTTTTTTATATTTTCTGTACCTTTCTTCCTTACTTTCATGTTTTTCTTTAAATCTTAACATCATACACGTATTTTAATACCCGTTTTAACATACCTTCTGTTTATTTTAATTTTCTCTGTCATTTGTGCATTTGTTCTATAGATTACCTTTCTTCTGACTAACGGTTATATTTTCTTGCTTCAATTCCATACTTAAAATTTTTTATTGGGTGCCAGACTTTGAATTTTGCATTGCTGAGTACAGACTTTAGAAATTGCTGGTAGGCAGAAAGCTAAGGTTTTCATAGGGTTCACCTTACTTGTTTTCATCACAGTGCTGCCTGCTTGCCAATGTCTGACAACTGTTGTTTATTACTTTGGTTCCATTTTCTAATTTTTATGATAGGACGATAACTCCAGACCCTGTTATTCTCTCATGACTAAAAGCAAAAGTCAAGATTCTTTTGAAAAATTATATCATTCTGCTAATGTGTAACCAGTATAACTTCACATAAAGAAGGTAATTGTAAAAATATGAAATAAAAAGAATATGTAACTTAAAATTTTTAACTTTTCTCTGTTCTATCTGAAATTGTCTGTCTTACTACCAGTATGTTGTGGAGAACTGTAATGGAGTCCAACCCTCTGAATTTAGATATAAGTAAGCACAGTCAAGGAGAAGTAACTTGTCCATGGTGTATAAGTGTATAAATTAGTAAGATAATATATGAACTATATTTTCAGAATGCTGGTCAAATGTAGTATTTCTAGGACATTAATTTTTCTCTGCAAGAGCTTTACTGCTTCCTTCCTAATGTCTTTAATTACAAGCATTTGCACTGATCCATCTTCCCTATTACTTTTGAAAATGGTTTTTCACCATGAAATACCACCACAACAGAATTTACGATAACGCTCTGCTTTTTATTTTATTCCATCAAACCCTAACCCCCATCTGTCTTTCAAAGTTTCCCATAATCTGACTTTGCCCACTCTTCCAGTTACATTTTGCCTCTGCTTCCTTAACTAGTTGCAAATGTTTTATTCAAAAAAGATTTGTACAGTTAAGTCTTCCTACATATCTTTCTCACTCTCGTGGACAGGATTTGTCCACACTGTTTGCCTTAAACTGAATGAAAATATAATTAGATCATAACATTGCATTTCTTAAGCAAGTAGGAGTTTCTTGTTTTTATTGCTGTATCTTAAAAATACTGTTTTAATTTATATTCAGTAAGAATCTCAAGGTACATTACCATCACTTTCATCAATTATATCAATTTAATATTTTTCATTTGATTTTGTACTATACATTTAGGATTCTGAACACTGGCAGCTTCTAGAAGGAAGAAAACTTTCACATGGAATCACTTTTCAGTTTAACCATAAGCCTACTTTGTGCAGGACTTGGTGTGTCAGATGTCTCCTTAGTGTTGGGTGGTTTTTGCAGTCCCTGCCAAAGAAGTTTCTGAACAAGTCCTCAAAGTAACAGATTATTAATTTTAAAAATTTACCCTGCATTTTTTATATGTTAGAGTCTGGAGATATGGGAGGAAAGAAGAAAACCAGGTTCTTACCCTTATGACTTCTATATTGAGTTTAAAATATGATGGGAAATTTCAACCAGTGAGGATGGTAAGTAAAATAATGAACATTACTTAGCATTTATTATGCACTTATTAACTTATTTAGCTTTTATAAAAGATATGGTCATTCATCCCTGTCCACATCTTTGTGATACAAGTACTGTGCTTATCTATTTGTAGAAGACCACTGATGCTTAGAAAATTTAAATAATTTCTTTTCATAGCTCATGTCAAATATTTAAGAATTTTAAGCAAATCTGGGTCTTGAGTCTAAATCCAAATCCTAGGCTCTAAAACTTTCTTGTTTTGTATCCCAATAGTAAGTCCAGGATTGCTCATGTAGTCACAAAAGTATCTGCTTGTTAGAGGATTCGTGTGGCTCTATACAGAGGACAAGACCAGAATTTAATACAGACTTGAAATAAATAAAGTAACTAAAACAAAATCTATGTCATCAGAGCTACCGAGAGGGAGTGACTAAATCAACAGCAGGGGCAGGGAATGAAATGGGCAATGCCAGCACATAACAGGGGTGCATATAAATATGTAAAGCAGGCCACCCAAGTGCTGAGTCAAAACCAGGTTGACAGCTTGGCTGGTATTCAGCTGACAGATCTGTTGACAAGAGTGTTGTGATGGCTTTTGCATAGCTACACCACTTTAAGGTAGCAGCTCAGAGTCATCCCTTTGACCTTTCCCAAATGTAATTCCTCTCATTGAAGCACTGCCTGCAACACTGGAAAATTACCCAAGCTTCAGCAGCATCTTATTCTCTTCTATATTGAATAGAACTAGAAATTTTGAAAAGTCACTATCCTCTGTAAGCAATGGCCTTTCCTTTCATTTCATACCTGAAATTTCTTACATGAGGCTGAGTATTTTCACATTTTTAGGTTCCATCAACCTAGACCTTCTAGTGATGGTTCCAACTGTTGTAGCCTGCTCACTAATATGGTGTCAGGTGGATATATTGGTTTAGTGAAATGAACCGGTTCTCTCCTAACCCTTCCTTCTAAGGATATCGTGGGTACTGCTCATGTTTATCAAGATCATCCATAACAAAAGGTCACTCTCATGTCTATGGCACTTCATTTCAAAGTGCTTTCACAGATATCATGACCTTTCCTCTTAGGGATTGAGAGGTAAGATGGAATCGCTATGGAAAGAATGCTCATGTTAGGGCTAATCAGTGGACGTTCCAGAGCCACCTCCACTAATTATTACCTGTGTGCCCCTAGGAAAGTTCTTTATCATTAATTCTACAAAACAGAGTCATTCATTGAGGCCTACCTAATATGCTGTCATGAAGACCAAAGATGTTCATGAAGCACATTTGTGTAGCACAGTACTCAAACATGGGCCTTCAAGTCCCAATTGTTTAGGTTTGGTTCCTAGCTCCATTATAATATTTATAATCCGTAGACAAGTTAATTACTCTAATCCACATTTCCCTACCTGTAAAGTGGAGATAATGTTAGTAACTCTATTATCTGATTTTCAAATGAACTTGGGTGGGAGACCAGCTGCCTCAGTATGTCTGTCTCATTTAATGGCTTTGCATTCAAAATGCTGTGAGTGGTTAGGAAGGCCTACAAACCAGGCTCTGCCTACCTCTTCAAGCTCATCACTCCCTGGCTCCCTGTGTTTCTTTAATTCTCTTCAGGAAGCCTAGCTCCTTGCCACCTGAGCTATTCCCCTGCCTGTAATATCTGTCAGATTTTACAGATCTCAGCCAAACATTCATTTCCTCAGAGAAGACTTTTCTGTCCATCCTGGTGATGGTGCACTTCATATCGGTGGATTCGGCACAATTACAGCTAAAGATTTAACTCTGTGAGTAAGCAGCTGTAGAGTGATTGCACCCACAATCACCCAGGCACAAAGTCAGTGATTAAAAAATAGTTGTCACATGGCTGAGAGTGTCCTCTCTGTCCTCTAAGCACTTGATTGGGTCTTGTGGAAAGGGGGGTACTTTTAAGATGCAATTAATACATATTTGGCTAAGACTCATTGCTCAAGAATTTCTTGGCATAAATAAGGAGCTATTGATCTGGAAGGGAGGGAACTGAATGAGATCTGAGCCTTGGCAGGGGAAGGCTGGCTGGCAGGACAACAAACAACTTCACAGGGAGGCACCTTTTGGGGGACTGGGACATACCAGACTAGCATATCCTGATATGTAATCTTGTAAATGTGTCGGAAATGACTGCACTTACACATGCTGAGTCACATAACTGAAATTTACAAGAGTCACAAAGCACAAATCAATAACATGTTTATAATTTACATTAAAAACTCCAGCTGTCAAAAGAACTATATCAAGTTTTATGCCAAACTAACAGATTCTTTACCTGTAAATAACATAGGAAGTCCTAGTATAAAAATGTCGCTTGTTGTACAAAGATTAAAAAACACAGAGGAAGTATATGATTTGACAGAAACCATTACCTACACAATCACTCAAGTGCATAAGAAAATAACAGTCTTGCACTTTATATTTCGGTTTCACAATAGCTTAATAAAATGGTACCATTTGTATCCTTTCTTTATACATCAGGAAACTAAGGTTTGGAAATATTGGGCAACTTGCCTCAAAATATCAATTCTCTAATCTCTGAAATCTTGACTTTAGATAGCAAGCTCTTAATCTTTATGCTATAATATTTTGTATCTATTATGAACTAGCCGGACATTAAGGAGACAAAGAGTAATAAGGTTCCTGCCCAAGTGGAACTTACAGACTAATGAAAAAGGCAGACACTCTACAGCTGCTTACTCGCAGAGTTAAATCTTAATATGAAGTGCACCCTCATCAGGGTGGACAGAAAAGTCTTCTCTGAGGAAATGAATGTTTGGCTGAGATCTGTAAAATCTGACAGATATTACAGGCAGGGGAATAGCTCAGGTGGCGAGGAGCTAGGCTTCTTGAAGAGAATTAAAGAAACACAGGGAGCCAGGGAGTGATGAGCTTGAAGAGGTAGGCGAAGCCTGGTTTGTAGGCCTTCCTAACCGCTCACAGCATTTTGAATGCAAAGCCATTAAAGAGTTTTAATCCCAAGAGTGCTTAAAACTGAATTATGTCAGATGTGTGATTTTAAAACAATGATGATACATGCCTTGTTGGGAATAAATGAGATGGGTACAGGGAATCTAGTTCGAAGGTTGCTGTGGTCCAGCTAGAGATGAAGGCAGTTTACGCGATTTAGAACCACAAAGTCAGCCATGGACGTTTTCTCAGTTCTACATGAAGGACTCAGTCTGAGAGACAAGTGATGAATTGGTGCCGATACCCATGGTCTCAAGAAAGTCACTGTGTTAATTACACATGTATGTAACCATTGTTGTGTATTCAATCAATACTTAGATCCAGGAAGCTGTCACACTTGTAAATGATTTTAAATGCTAACATAATCATTTTGGTGACATTTTCTCTATCAGAAAATTTTAAATCACTAAGGAAAGCTTTTAAATGACAGTTGGCATTTATTGTTGGAATAGAGTCAATATAATAAGCTTTTCTTCTAGATTTGATGACCTTGAGAGCATTGATGGATATTGTGCTTTTGATAAAGAATTGTAGCTGAATATTTGTGCCCATGTGATTTTTGCTAGGTCGTCATACAGAAAGCTCAATTGAGGAACAGAGGCCAAGCACTTTTGAAGATATGTTTGATGATTCAGGTAGTAGGAAGGTTGGTAGGCAGAGACATTCAATTCAGGTCAAATGTATGATATAAAGCAGGGGTCCTCAAACTTTTTAAACAGGGGGCCAGTTCACTGTCCCTCAGACCGTTGGAGGACCAGACTATAGTTTAAAATAAATCTATAAACAAATTCCTATGCACACTGCACATATCTTATTTTGAAGTAAAAAAACAACACGGGAACAAATACAATATTTGTATTTGCATGTGGCCCGTGGGCTGTAGTTTGAGGACCCCTGATATAAAGTATGTCTTTGGGGTGAGTACTACATGAACAAATAAAGAATCTGGTTGAAGAAACGTTTTAGAAAAAACAAACAAACACAAGACTGATAGTACAGCCACTAGCCAAATGTAGCTATCAAGCACTTAAAATGTGATTAGTCCTAATGAATATGCTGTAAGTATATCATAATCATCACATTTCAAAGCCGTAGTACAAAAAAGGAAAGTCTCTCCATTATAATATTGATTACATGTTGAAATGATAATATTTTGAATTTATTAGTTTAAATGAAATATAATAAAAATTGATTTTACTTGTTTCTTTATACTTTTTAAAATGTGACAATAAATAAATTGAATTATATATGTAGTCACATTACATTTTTATTGGATAGCACTGGTATAGAGAATCAAGAGTAAGATTATTATTGCCTAAGAAATCTGGTTATTTGTAGAAAAACTTGAAAAATTCTTCATTTATAAATTTTGTTTTAATGTATGAAGAAGTGAGAGAATGTAGAGTCTATGGAAGATCAGGTTGTGCTATAGTAGTCAAGTTTGAAGATAATTAGAAGGCTGAAAAGCAGAAAAACAATTATTGAGTAGTAATTTTTAGTATTGTATTACTGTACAATGCAATCCTAATATATAAAAACCCTGGATCCATCACATTCACAATGACTGAAGGTTGACCTAATGCCCAGGCTGTGTGCGCAGCAGGCTCTGGGGGGTGGGGACTTGTGGCAGCGGAGACAGGATGGGGAAGGTGGGGCCGACACTCACACTCACTCACAACCACACACATGCACAGACACACACAGTGTCCACCAGGGCACAGCCTTTTCTCCTTTTCTTTCCCTTCCTGCCAGCTTGCTCTCGGAGCCTCTCTCAGAATGAGGAAACAAAACAGACTGGGCCTGAAGAGGCCTGGATGGAAGGGAGGGCAGGCAGAGGGTGGAGTGGCCCCCATTGGCCCCACTCCCTCCCAGCCAGGAAAGAGGAAGAGGAAGACAGGGAGGCAGGGAGGCCTGGAGGACTGCTGAGAAAAACAAAGAGAGACAGAGATTGGGTGAGATCAGGCTGGCAGGGGAGGGCAATAAGGGGTGATCAGATGGGCAGAGGCAGTTGGGGGCAAGGTCAGGCCAGCAGGGGAGAGCAGCTGGGGGCAACCAGGCCAGCAGGGGAGGGCAGTTGGGGGTGAGATCAGGCTGGCAGGGGAGAGCAGTTAGAGGTGATCAGGCAGGCAGGCAGAGAGGTTAGGGGCAATCAGGCAGGCAGGCAGAGGGGTTAGGGACAATCAGGCAGGCAAGCAGAAGCAGTTAGGGGAGATCAGGCAGGCAGGCAGGTGAGTTGTTAGGAGCCAGCAGTCCCAGATTGCAAGAGGGATGTCCAACTACCGGTTTAGGCTCGATCCCTGTGGCGTCCCCGATTGGAGAGGGTGCAGGCTGGGCTAAGGGAACCTCCCCCGCCCCACCCCCCCTCCCCCCAGTGCACAAATTTTGTGCACTGGGCCACTAGTGTAAGAATAATGGTAGGCCTATTCCAATAAAATACAAAAGCAAAATACAATTGATTTTTCCTATGAATTAACTCTCCTCTATTAAATTTATTGTAAAAAAGTGTTAAGAAATAATGTCCTTTGAAACATACATAAGAGCAAACACCCATTAGAATTTATGGCCAAGCTGGTAATAAACATTATTACTATTCTTCAATAATTAAGCAATTACTCTGTTTGTAGAGTCGTTCATTCATTTGTTTATTAATTCACTCAGCAAACAGTTTTGATATTGATAGTGATTGGGAGAGAGATAAAATCAAGATACTGTGATACTAAAAAAAAAAAGCTATCTACCCATTTCCAGGCATGCTGGGAAGATTTGAAGGTGATTTGATAGTAACTTAGCAATGTAGACAATTAACTCTGGAAAGAAAAGGGAGCATATACCAAAAGAGCCATTGTTACCTCTTTACACATTCCAATCACCCGATATTTACCTTTGCAAATTGATAAGACTGTATCTCAAATTAGATCCAACTCGAATTTCTGGCTGTGTTCTGCATCTGGTTTTTCAAAAAAAAAAGAATCTCTATTTGAATATACCTCCTACAGGAATTCAAATACAAATTACTTAATGCCACTCATTAAGTAAGCAGTTAGGCAGGTAAACCGGCTTGGAGGAATGGATGGTATAAATTTCCTCCCACTGTGGTATGGTCCTTCCTCTTCATTCTCACAAAGCTTTGACCTTTTCCACCGGTAGTGTTCTGATCCTGCCACTGCGGGTCGTGGATGTCATCACAGGCAATAACCAGCACTCTTGGTAATAACTTCTCTTTAAATGTAAGTGATCTTTCTTTTGAGCATTTTGGTTTGGGGTGGATAAATATTCATTTAGCACATTATGGCCTCGTTTCAAAAACCTTCAGTAGTTCACTCATTTATGATGGCTAGAATTTCTTATTTGTCATTTCTCTCTTCTACTTTTTTTTTTTATCATAGCTGCACGGTATTTGAAGATGGGTCTAGTGTAGTGGAGCTGAAACTGAGACGCATTGATACCAACACTAAAGAGAACAGGCTCCACTCTAATAGGTAATCTCAAGAACAACACTGTTTCTTATAGACATCATGAACACTGACAACTTTGCTTTATGGGTAAAGAAATAAAAATTTGAAATATAATTTAAAATGCCTTTCCTAATGCCAAAATGTGCTAATCAATCATTTTACACACACACACACACACACACACACACACACACACACACACACGGCTTTATTGCATCCGGTTTGAATTTTAGTAAGCATAAAGAATTACATAAATTATCTAGTTAACTGGCAACAAATTCTGTGGTCCTGTTTATACAAAGTCTTTTCCTCCAAGGCAAAATTTGTCTCAATTTGTAAGGTTTCAAATTATTCCTTTTTCCAAATACTTAGTTTCTATTTTGTTGGTTATGCCTAATATTTTTTAAACTTTGAGTTGTGTGCAAGGGGAAATTATGCCCCCTTTGAAACAGTCATGTGTTACTAAAAGGCAGTCTTTGGGGGAAAAGAAGCAAACAAACAGACAAAAAGATGATACTTAATAGCAAATATATTTTGAATTAGAACATTGGAAGAAAAATAAGAACTATTTTCACAGATAGATACCAAGATCAAGGATCTATGTTCAACCATGTATTTTCAGTCATCTTGATAATTAACTGGGCAGCCATCATTAAACAATTTGCTGAGGCTGTGACATGATCCTTGGGTCAAGATATCAGAAATACCACAGGACTTCTGAAAGGCTGCCCCTTAATCTACATTTTAGCCAACATTCCTTTCCAGCTCTAATACCATCTAGCTTTATGAAAAACAAACAACAACAAAGCAAAAAACAAACAAAAAACAGGGGAAATTTGAGCTTCTAGAGCAGTGGTTCTCAACCTTCCTAATGCTGCAACCTTTTAATACAGTTCCTCATGTTGTGGTGACCCCCAACCATAAAATTATTTTCGTTGCTACTTCATAACTGTAATTTTGCTACTGTTATGAATCATAATGTAAATCTCTGATATGCAGGATATATTTAGGTGACCCCTGTGAAAGGGTTGTTTGACCCCCAAAGGGGTCGCGACCCACAGGTTGAGAACCACTGTTCTAGAGAGTAGGAGCCATCATTTGATATTTCACAGAAACAAGAAAGAAGTTCCAATGTATTTCATTTTAAATCATTTCAATATATTAAATCACTACTAAAGTAGCAAGCTTACATTGTAAGAATGATGAAAACATTGTGGAAAAAATAACTTTATTTGATATGGCCTTGTATCTGTCAAATAAAAGAATTGGAAGAATTCTCCAGATTATTTAAATAATCCTCAGATAATCTTCAGAGTTGAGGAAGAAATATAAAGAGGCAATAGTGTTGAAATTCTTCTGGGATTTAAGCTGATCAACAATTTGTAAAAACCTGAGCAGTTTAACCATATTCATGCTATTTCCACATTGAGTCATGGCAACAGATCAATAATAATAATAATAATAATGTGCTTCCTAGAACTCTCCAGAGAGTCCATTGAAGTTTTGTTGGAAAGGGTTGTTTGAGAGTCATAACCCATGAAAGATTCCAGACAAGTCTACACACTTCTGCCATTGTACTGTCCACAATGGCAAAGCATGGTTGAGTCCCTCATCAAATACTGAGTATGGGCTGGTACATAATCTTAGTCCAGCAAGCTGAGTGTTTCCTTTCACACCACATTTGTTTAAATGGCATAAAATTTCTCACACAGTGGAACAGATCTTAGGATTTGGACATATATGAATAATATTTTTGTTTTTGAATGTATTTGAGAATGAGTCCAAACTAATAAAATTGAAACTCCAGTATCATGCTTAGTAGCAATGTAAGCCTTCTTCCTGTTGGAAAATGAACAAAATGTAGTGATTGTGTGTACTCTACAGGCATGCAAAGTGAAGTGAAAAATTAAATCACATACACCTCCATTATCTAGTCTTTCAGGTGGGGCATAAAGCTAAATTGTCTTTATTCTCCTCAGGTCTTCAACTCTACCTGTTTAAGGCAGAGTCTAACTGGTTTGTAGATTAGCTCCCACAATGGTTGCTGCCAAGGTTGGCAACAGGTTGAATCCCTTTAGCAATATGAGTCTGTTTTTTTTCTGCCACACTGCTAGTTCCAAACTTTTCCTGGACTTAAGAGTTGGGAGTCAGGATGGCCTCACCTTGTCAGTTTAGGTACAATCAATCACATCCCTGCACACTAGATCAGTGATTTCAACTTTGTCATCTCATGGCACACATAAACTAATTACTAAAATTCTGCGACACACCCAAAAATATATTTTTTGCCAATCTGACAAAAAGTATAATTTTTATTTATTCACAAAAAAGTATTAGTAATAGTCTGCCCTTTCTGCTTCAGAGTGACTAAAAAATCAGGTGCCTATACACGTATACCATAAGGATTTCTAGTACCAAGAATTAACCAATCAGAGACAACCTTATTATGTGACATGACCAATAAGATGCAACTCTGTTATATGACCTAAGTATTTATGATTCAAGATAGGGCATTCATACCAGATGGCTATTGTTATATGTTGGCTGTTGTTGTTTTTTTTATTTTGACAATGTATGAAAAGTGAGGTCAGTTCGTGATTGACTAGTGAGGTATTGTGTGTTTTAAAAATTCTTGAGGCACACAAGTTGAAAATCGCTGCACTAGGTGGTTGACATCAGTACTGTCACATACAGTTGACCCTTGAACAACAAGGGAGTTATGGGTGCTGAACCCTTACCTGGTCAAAAATCTATCACTTGACTCCCCAAAAACTTAACTACTAATAGCCTACTGATGACAGGAAGCCTTACCGATAACATAAACATTGATTAGTACATATTTTGCACATTAGAGGCATTATATACTGTATTTTTACTATAAAGTAAGCCTGAAAAAGAAAATGTTATTAAGAAAGAGAAAATGCATTTACAATATTTTTTGAAAAATATCCGCATATAGGTGGACCCACCCATTTCAAACCCATGTTGTTCAAGGGCCAACTATACATTGTGTCATTTGATCCTCACAGTAACGCTGTGGGGTTGAGGAGGTAGTTAGCATTATGTCTTATCTTATGCATTAGGATCCTGAATACATTTTACTTCCTCATTTGACTCATTGGTTTCAAAATGTTGCTGAACCCTCCCAACAGCAATAGAAAATGGAAACATGAGGATTCAGTCAAACTGGTTATTTGTCATCATATAGACCATTATTTCCCAACCCACAAGTGCATTGTGGCATTTGGTGACTGGGAAGACGCCCTGGGTGTGTATCATAGTCCAAGGTTTCCCCATTTCCCCGGGTTTCCTGTCTCTCATCCGTCTGACTTCTAACTATCACTGCAACCGTATCTCATTCTTCAGCCTGATGTCACATGCCGAAAATCAGAAGTTCCTAATCCATTGGAGTCCTCAGTAGCAGGTAAAATCAAGATTTCTCACAACCAGGAGGCAGTTGGCTTGAAAATCAGGTTGTAAGAGCTCTTCAGGGAGGCTGCCTGCGTTCTTGTCGTAGTTCTTCTGTCACCTGTTGGCCCTGTGACCTTGAGCAGATCTTAAATTTCTTTCAGCCTTTGTTTTTTTCATTGATAAAATGAGGATAATAACAGGAGCTACCTCATGGAGTTTCTTTGAGGTTTAAATAACAAATGAGAAGTGATTAGAACAGTGCCTGGCACAGGCCAAACGTTCAATAGATATTAGCTATTATTCATTTCAAAAATGTTGTAAATTATATACCACTTACAGATATAAAACTGTCTTAACCAGATAGCAAGTGAACAGAAAGTTATTTAATTTCAAAAGTAAATTCTGAATTTCTAGAAGTCAGTCATTAATCTGTTATAGCCAAGGCTCTCTGCTCTTTCTCTCTCACTCCTTCTTACATTAAGCGGTGAAAGAGCTTACACTGCGCTTAGTGTTCTATATGTCACTTAATCCTCTCTCTAACCCTGTAATCTTCCTTATAACCATGTAATGTTATTGTCCTCACTCTACATCAAGGAAACCAAGAGACAAAGCCACTAAAAATAACTTGCCCAAGGTTAGGAATCTTGTGTGTAGTGATACTGGACTTCAATCTCATGCCGTTGGAGCTCTCATATGAGTGCTTACACTGAGATGACGTTGTCCTACTTTGAAAATACATGATTTAAGCAATGCCAAGAGGATACATTGCACGTTTATTTAACGTTTGCCATTGGGTGTCCACAAGAGAAGTAGTCACACCAGTAGAAACTTATCGCCAGCTTGTTTGTGTGGTTGGAGCTTCAGTTCTTATTTGCTTTGTGGAGTGCTGAGCTAGACTATAGGGTACCTCCACTTTCAGTTTTGCCAGGGTGTGGAAATATGTCCTCTGAGTCTCTAGGTGTTCCGGAAAATCTCAGGTGAACAAAGACTTAAAATAATTGAAAATTTTTCATTAAAATAAGAGATAAAAATAAGTCTTCACACTAGACTAAATTCATTTTATTTTCAGAAGTGGGCTATTTTAAGGTAGTTTTTGTGTGAAAAAAATAGTTTAATAATGCCCAGAGTTAGGTCACTGTACTTGTTCTCTTCCACACTTTCTCAGCTTTCTCAGGATGTTAGTCACTTTTTTATTAGGGTACTATTTTCATTTCATTAATCAACTCTGATGTATAAAATTAATCTGTAATTATCAAATGTTTTATAGCAGGCATTCCAATGATGTGGCTGTTTTTAACAACAACCTGTTTGATTTGTGGAACTTTAAATGCTGATAAAATCTTTCATTTGGAAAGAGAAGCGAATCCTGAAACGTGGATGAATACTGTAAGTCATGGAAAATTCCAAAGAACACCAAATAAAGCAGATAATAGGTTATAAAATTATTAAAAGTCCTGTTAGAGCTGAAAATCTCTGATAAGAAAACAGATAAAACAGGCTATTTTTAAAAAATATTTTTTTATTAATTTCAGAGAGGAAGGGAGAGGGAGAGAGATAGAAACATCAATGGTGAGAG